TAATATAGTCCGCAAGCTTATCCCAAACCACATGGCCTGATATGATTTGGGACTACCAATTACTATAACGTGCATTTAGAAATTATCTTAAGGCTCACTTCTCGTTTTCCATGGTATCTTGAAAATCCTTCTTCCCCACATTATCCCTTGGTATGATTAACAGCCGAGCATATTCCAATCGGGCACTGGTGGTCCGCTTCTTCCAATCAATTAAGGTAAATGGTCCTTTTACGCCAGTAATTTCCAAAAGCACCAAACTCATCTATAAATACATGTCAACTTTTATGATGTACCTTTCGGACATTGTCGCCCTTCTGGCTTCGGGTGCTGATCGCACCGCCGATACCGCTGGACAGTTTGCCGTGAAATTACGCACCTATAATTACCATTGGAGCGGAAAGCCATGAATATTTATTTTCAAGCAGTACTAACACTGTACATTCATAATGTTATCATCTGACACAGAGCAGGGAAACATGGAATGGTGAATATTGAGTTATATGGAATAATATCCAGCCGAATGACGGAAGATGGTTCTGAAAAGTGTCGGCCCTTTTCACACCCGATTTAGTGTTTCTCTTAGTAGAAAATCAATCAGCACTATAGAGATTTATTAAATAAGTGTTACCAACCGGACAAACTCGGTTCAATATGTGCTGATGTTTACAGCTCTCATAGATCGGTAAGGTCGCCCAGATCGTAATGGCGACTCCGACATAGTCCCGATCGAACCTCGGTTGTCCAAACATGTCCCAGTGCTGTATTATAACTTCGTTAATTATCGCTTTGTAAAAAAGCGCGGCCTGTAAAATAAAGGCTTAATTAGCCGGCTGGTCGCGCGGTATATGCTGTGTAATGGTGTATTGATAATCGATCCCTGAGCCAGCAGGTTAATGACATTTCAGATGCAATTAAGGTAAGAGTCTTGCAAGTGGAAATCGATATCAATCAGATACTATTACACAAATAATGGCCCGGTAATAGTCATAACACGTGCTTGAGTAATCTACAAAATGTTTTAAAAATTTAGTTATTTCTAATTTTCGACACAGCTAACTGTCCAATCAGTCGTCTTTTCTAACGGGCCATAAAACAGCTATTTTTTTTTAATGATACTATATACATTGACTTTTAATGCCCCTTTCTTGTCTTTTGCTCCGATAGCCTATACTTCATGTGAATTATAACGTAAAAGTTAAATTTCCAAATTGAACGATTAAAACCAAATTTAACAACATGCATTATTAATAAATTATTATTAGCAAAATAAACACTTACAAAAACAACCCTTTTCCTCTTTGTAATAACCCTCCTCTATCTAAAGTGACGTTCATGTCAAAATATTAGTGAATTTCGGCAGGTGCAACCAATCAATCAGTACTTCTCATACACGGGGACTCTTTCCGAAAAGTTTGTGTTAAGAAACCACTGTTTGCTGTTGAGAACGGAGCCCTCTAGCGACAGTATGATTTGATTTTTTTTCTCACAAGATACCTCCCCCGGTAAACCCCAAGCCACGCCCATAAAGAGCAGGCAATATCACTTTAAAGCAAACTGAGGAAGGAATCTAATGGTGTTCAGGTGCTGTCTTTTCGTTGATGTATGATTCTCAAATGATGAATGGACATGTCAAGTCAACGGAAACATTATGATTTTGCGGTATGTCATTCTGTTCAGGAGGGGAATTTAGAGCACCAAGCTATGAACGATTGGCTGGACGTTTATAGTGCACCCAACTGGGTTTAAAATTCACACAACTTTGACGCTACGTTACTGTATTGTGAAACAAACCTACCAATATTCTACATCCGTCTAACTGGTGTATCTTTCAGAGATGAAAGCTACGGGGCTTTAAAACATACAAATTGATGCACATCTGATTTCACAGATTACATTTATTTTATTGTGTTCATGTGTTCTATCATATGAAAAGAAACACCAGAGAACTGACAAATTTCAACCCCAAACTGTCACGAATGTTCGCATCCGTCGCTTTCCAAATTAATTTTCAAAACTGATTACAGAAACTGCTGGCCTCAATTCCATCGTCTGGTCTGTAATCATTCCCGATCGACACAAAATGCTTCTGAATTTTCCCCTGACTGGGGCGAGCTCTGTCAATCTGCGAGCATATCGGTCCGGTAAATTGATCAGCGTCGGTACAAAATGTGGGTTACACACTGAATCATTCCGCCCCACAAAATATCCTCTGAATGGAGTTCCCCCATCGATCACAATGAAACGGAGAGGAAGCGTAGTGCAGCGGAAACTGCGCCGTTCAAGCCGTAGAAAATCTCCGCTAAATCAACAAGAGAGCTCGGCCGTTTTGGATGATTCAAGTCGAGAGAGAAATTAAGTATCTCTAGAGGTGTGCGTTTCACAGTCAGACAGTCTGCTTGGGTCAATTGGTTGCCTGTTTTATTGAATCGAAATGACTCCCACCGTAACTATTACGTTACGCTGGGGGCACCGGCCGGCAGTGTGGTCTGACCGGCGAGGCTCTCTCCATTAAACCGGCAAATCTAATAAACCAACGAACAGGAGTGTGTCTTGATTACAGCTATCATCAACATGGCTGTTCCAAACTGGAATGATTTGACCCCAAAATGGACGCAAATTTGATAGAAACTAACTGATGCGCGGAGACCACGGCGGTTCATATTAAGAACGATTGGAGTAAATTATGTCTTTGCCCTAAATGACAATCCAGGTTTTCTTTGATCAACCTGCGTGTTTTTTTCAGCAAGGTTATTCTTTTTAGGGTATAGATTTTAATACTAGTTCGCCTCTCCTAACAATCAGTGCCACTGTATACACGAGCAAGTGAGTTAATATCTTTCAGTGCTTTCCATGCCGTCTTACAGTTCGCATTATATCTACAAATTATGTGATTCGAAGCAAACTCAAAGCAAATTGTTGCTTTAAGAGTGATAAATTTAGATATACGTTTTCCTCAATTATGCTCAGAGAAGTTTTCCACAAAAAAATATTCTCAATATTGAGTTAAACATCACTTCTCCCTTGAATGATTATTTTTCTATGGTGTTTCCAATTATCGATACGCCCACATCAATGCAAAACCCAAACTCCTAGAATTATACGGAACCGCATAGGAAGACGTGATAAACAAGAAACCACGAGAGGGTTCAGTTCTTAGCATAGACGTTCCGTGCAACCTGCTAAATCGAAAGTAAATTCATGACTTGTTCTTATTAATAACTTTTTTTCATCGTGGGTTTGTGATTCTTATGCCAATCGATTCCTCCTCTTCCGTGTTTTGGTTGGAGATTAATGCCTACCCACAGAACGCCTACGCGCAGCAGTCAATGAGATGTTGTTTTTCCTTTCAAAATCTAGATTTTTTTCCGCAAGGTGCTTGGGGAAAAGCAGCACAAACTGAGCTGAGTTGATAGTGATATAGTCACAAAAAGTGTCGGGAAGTGACTATTTTTTTCTAGGCTATTCTTGGTAGGAGGTTGGCGGAGTCCAGTTTCTTTTCCCAAAGACTTTTTTCACGGTCGATGTTTGTATCCCCTCTCACCTAGAAAATTAATTGGAAATATTGAATTAGAATCAGATATTCCTTGTAGGTTTTGATTCCTGACTAAATCATCTGAAATAGATCGGAAAGGATGAAGATCGTTTTTGCAAACGAAACCGGAAAGAAAAGATAAACCAACCGACTATTTATTCACCCGTTCGATGGCGAAGACTGGGTTTCAGTTATTTACTTTTTGACAATTTGGGATCTTTTCATCTGCCAGTAACCCCAACTAAGTAGGTATTTCACACAAGTGGTACATTTATCCATCCAGCTCTTCAACCCAAATGATCGGTGCAAGACGCCTTTTATCCGTGTCTACCCTATGTCAAAAATAACAGCACGAAGAAAAACAATTCAGAATGTTTTTGATTAAATTCTTTATCTCATTTTGCCATCTTTGGAGCGTTGTTAAACAGAGTGTACGTATAGGCAGAAACTGAAACTGGATTAAAATATTCGAAAGGTGTGGAGGGCACGTAAAATGTCCTAATTCATTCCGCCCGACCTCTTCTTTGTGCAGATAGCGAAGCCATTTCCCGCCATGAAATGCCATCGCTTGCCAGCAGACGCCTCCTCGCCCCCAATCCTTCTGATTTAGCCCAAACCCCGCCGCAAATCCGAGTCCATTAGCGGAATGATTTTCGGCGGCCGTGACAGTATCGCGTCCCGGTGTATTTTCCCCAGCATCGGGGAATGTAATAATCCGCGTGTAAAAAGCTTTCTGATAAATGCAGTTTTACGCTCTGAGATGTTTAATGGCCCGTGGTAAGGACAGGAGTTACCGCGGCACTGACGATCCACACCTCCCAAGTCAACTCGGCGGTCACGAAGAAGTTTGACAAATTTCTATCAATAATTTTTGGTGTCGTTGATCGCTGCAGTGATTCGCACACAAATTCGCCCGCTGGATTTCAGAAGTAGACTCATCGTTGAGGGCGTGCGATGAAGTCATCAGTTACGAAATGAGGTTGTTTTGAAAGCGAGGTTACACTGGCAAGATTTGTCCTCAGTGGAAGCCTTCTCAGACGCTTGGTGGCAGCAGACGCACCGGTCATTTTCTATTGTTTGCGTCATTTGAACATGCACACAAAAATAGCCTAAACATGACGCAACCATTATTGAAAACATAGACATCTAACAAAAAAATTAAAAGAACCGCTGTGTTTGCTACCACCAATTGCCTCAAAAGTATCCAGTTTCTTACGAAATAACATATAGCCTCTCCACCAATTGAGTCTTTGTTTTGCATTTATTTTGCAAGCTATAGTGCATTCGGTCCCATCAATAAGGAGAGTGCGTGTGACGAACGAATTATTCAAATCTTCCCAGAAATAAAATGTCAAGCATCTTCTTGTCTGCTTGCATTCGAAAACAGAGTTGCCCTTCTAACAAGTATTTAGGCTATAGGAACACGGGCCACAGACTTCACAAATATAGGAGATAGCATATGCGAATCTGTGTTTTCCGAACTGTGCATACAATTTTATTTGTACTCATGAGCTCATCATTTCATAAAATAAAATAAACAGAGAAGTTGTATGTCCAACTTAGTTTGATTGACTTGTAACTGAATTCGAGTTTTTCGTTTTGCGTAGTATTACATTGGTCCTTTCGAAAGTAAACAAGTATAATAATTATACGACATTCGTATGCATTATTATTTGTTCTACAATGTGTGCACATGTCCTCGGAATGATAGAAATGCGTTCGTGCCACATAAATAATATAACATTTAAACTTTGGATTCGTTACCTTTTATGCACCATCCTTATGGGAATGGTTCTGCCTCAGTTGTTTTTCATAATCTTTTTTTTTCAATATTAACCCCCAAAAAGCTTAAGTTATATATGATACACAAATGCACAACGCCTTTAAACAGGCGGTTTTATCATTTCAAACTTTAAACACCAAAATAATATTTACATATCTGGTCTTAAAAATGCTTCAAAATATTCTGCGATTTCAGATTAATTTGGCCCCGGTTAACGGTAGCAGCACGCCCTCCACTGCCCAAAAACCCGCGTTTGTAATTACTCACCATGTGGTATATACACTGAACCAATCGTACAATGAAAAATACAATGAAGTTTGATTTAAGTCGGTATTTTGTATGTGAGTTGAGTTTACAGACTACTATTTCAACTTTCTTTTCAAGTAAAAACCACGTCTAATTTTTTTTTTAAGTTTTACTTTTCATTTAATACTCCATCCCTTTTCAATACGTGTGCGTTTCTTTGGAGAACACTAGATCTACCATTCAGCTGCCCACGCAATTTATTCCCACACATCCCGCTCCTAAACTAAACCATCCCAAACACAACGAAACGCTTTCTGCAACATTTTCTCACGCACAGCAGTATCCAATAATCAAGACAGAATATTCAGTAGGACGGGCTTAGAACGTTCACCAGCGTTTGAAGACAACAAAACAACTTGTAACATTTATGCATTATCGATCACATAATTAAATTGTATGAGGGGAGCGTTCCACTCGCTCAAACGTTCCAACGTTCGCGTACTCTCTGTCAATATAATTATATCTAACATAAAACGTTTTCGGCCGTTGGCAACGTTTGCGTAATAAGTGGAACGCATTCAGTGAGTGAAGCAATTATTTAGTTTCATTCTTTGTATAGGATAAAAACGCGATCAGTGTGATACTTAATGCAAATGAGTCGTCCTTGCATTGACTACATCAATCCCCGTAAACATGTTTTTGGTCCAGTGATTGTTGTTGTTAGATACATAATGCGCATCTAATTTCGAGTTTTGGTCACTTTTTCTCCAACCGTTTGCTATTTCGTTCAAAGAAGCGTTAACATAGCATCACATTGCATTTCGATACACACAGCAAGAGGATTTTCTGAGCTGCCATTTAGAAACTTAAATATAATAAGTAGAAAACAAACAACCAGATGACGAATAATTGAATAATAATGTTAAAAGTGCCACTGTTTTACCATGCATTTCATTTGGTCCATATTGTGTATACCTAGACGTGAATCTTTCGGGTATCACTTCATATTAAGTTTGATACAGTCGAGAACCATGGTGGACCAGTATGGAGAAATTGCATGTTGTTGTTTTGAAGTTGTAGCATTTGATCAGCTACCATTACTGCATTCAATTCAATAACGGAATAGTGTACTTTTTCCGATTATGATAATATAGTAGTTCTTCGTTTGGAGAATATTCCATTCTTTATGTGTGCTTGGTACACTTTAATTTCAAACGACGTAGAGGGCTTTGCACAACTGTGTAATGCTTTTTTTTTTTACATTGACTTATATACAACCATATAGAAGTTCATAATAGCTCTGAATTAAACTTTCATTGGACAACAGTTATGGCTCTGAAAATATCGTCTTGCCAATGAAAGAGCGCGTTATATATCAGTATACACTCAACTGTTACAACACTAATTACAATTGGTCCAGATTTCCGGACAGTGTCCACATTTGGTGAGCGGTTAATGCACCGGTTCCACCGGGTGGCAGTCAAGGCTCCGCTCAGCCGCGGAGGAATACCGATTCCTACCGCCGCCGCTGTTGCAGTTGTCACTGTCCTCTACGTTGTTATTAGCCCGCTCATCGGACGAGCTGTCTTGGATGTATCCCTCCGCCATCATGTCATCGTCCATGTCGTCGTCGTCCTCCTCGTCATAGTACTCTTCATCGTGGATCTCAAGCCCGTCCACGGACTCGTTTCCTCCGTGGACTTCCACCTTGGTGATGTGGTCTCCGTCTTCATGAGTTTTCTCCAGCGGGGCCGGTGCGTGATCTGGCCGGCCTTCGTCAGAGTTAGCCGCAGCCTCCTTCTCCCCCTCCACGCTCGGTGTCTCCTTTACCTTCTTGCCGCGTTTCCACTTCATTCGGCGGTTCTGGAACCAAATCTTCACCTGCAGGGATAACAAACAACTGAATCATCGACTGAAATTGGTGTCTCATTTTTATTTCGAGTAGATTATGAATACAAAAAGGGGTAAGGTCTTGATTGTATATCTAGCTTAAACCTCTACAGCAATTTCTCACTACATAGGTAGCCACTTATCACCAGAGGGCGCTCGTGGTTCAACAACACAAGTTTTGTCAACATAGAAACCGCCTTCTGGCAGATTTTCTTTTCAGAAACCAGCGGGCATTATGATCTAGCACGTCAAGTAATTAAATCTACTTGAAATGATACAAAACGTAACCTACTGTTAATTTTTTTTCGAGTGAATTTACAAGATGACAGGTCTGGTCATGCCCGGCCCTGGATGTCAAACAATAAATTCAGTCAAAGAAATCATTGATTGCCATCATTATACCCATACTTACTCCCGTCAGACATTTCACAGTGATCACCCGCGAAACATGTCATAAGTGAGCAACCCAACAATGCCCGAATTAACAAAAGGGATCGCGTTTCTAAGATGGTCAACTCCCGGGAGTCCTTTCAATCAAGTTGGCTTTGCCATCCAAGAAAGGAAGACCTTTTCTTGATAATAATACAATGACGTCAAGAGCGCGTCAGCAGGCAGGTCGTGTTACCTGAGTCTCCGTGAGCATGAGGGACGTCGCCACCTCGAATCGCTTGGGCCGGGACAGGTACTTGTTTTTCTTGAACTGTTGCTCCAACTCGAGGAGTTGTTGGCTGGTGAAGGCGGTCCTGGGCCGCCTGGTCTTACCCAGGATCGTCGGGTGCTGGTGACCTGTAGATGAAGACGCACACAAATAAGGAATCGAATTAACAGTGAGCAAATTATAGTCATGAAGGTGAAGTGATGTTATTTTTAGGGCGCTATACTCTTCTAAGGTAGATAGTCGCCTTAGTTTGACAGCATACTTTGTAGTGACTCACTCACAGTATGTACCGTAGCGTCGTTGCCTTAAAATGCATCCATTGAGCCACATGCAAGAATATTGGCAAAACAACCATGTCCATATGAATGCTCTTACTCTGAAAAGTAGCACAACTATCGCAAAGAAACTCTCCCTTGCCTAAAAGAATAAAGGCACGGGACATATTTCTTCTTTTATTTAAAGTCTTCTTACTCAGACCACGTACTGAGATCTTGGTCTAACTTCGTCAGTGAGGTTTAAGCGTATCAGCTTGGTTTACTAAATTGAAGTTGACACCCATAATCACAGGTAATACACCTGCAATTTTCGCCGACGGCCAATCAGACAATGGTTGACTTAAATTGTATTAGGCAGGTTTACTGCTCGGCAAATTACGGCTTGTGGTTGGTACATGTCTAAAGCCAATACAATAACACTAACTTGCAATCTCGCGTCAAAATCGTGATTACTCTTGGCGTTTCTACCACCGCTATCCTGTTTTTACGAAGAAAACATTCGTAAAAAGGCCTATCAGCAGAGAGAGCCATGTCATTTAAATAGGCGTACCACCACTTTTTTTTTACAATTTGGTATAAAGGCAATCACCCTTGTGTTAGGAAAGGTGTCATACATTTTGGTGTTTACAAGTTTTCTTAATTTCATTTGTATGAAAGATCCTTTAGTTATACATCTTTCTTAATTTAACTTCTTGGCAAGTGTTCAACATCCTGACAAGACGTGATGGATCGGTTTAGCATAGACAGTCACAGTTCAGGAGGCCAATTAAGCTTACGATTTCCTAATCCAGTGGCGAAACCCCGCCTGTTCGCTTTGGCCTTAATACAGGCTGCAAGGCCAGACAAATGTTGTTATTAGACCTGATGCGAGTCCGTGTTATCACCGTGACATCCACACCTAATTACTTGATTAAATCAACGTCCTTGTTGTCAACTTATCGCAATGATAACATAAATGCTCATCCCCAGTATATACGATTTCTTTTCTTCTGCTTTTTTTCACGAGCGGGACGTGCGCCGTGATGATGACAGACCTTCATTAGGAAAATTGGCCCGGACTGAGCCGAGTTGGTGCGGGTGATGATATATGGTTTTATGAAGCCCGTGTAATATCTCTCGGTCTTTAGACAGATGAGGCTTGTGGGGGGACTGGGGTCTAGTATAGGGTCGACCTGATTTATTATTACCTTAATGCGTTATGTATAATTGTTTGCTTAAAGATGCAGTGGGCTTTCAAGTCTTCGGGCGATGGGCCAGCAATCTTGTGGTATAAATTCATTCCCGAATCAATCAGGTTTGTCCGTGTTAACAGCCGAGCGTGGATCGCACAAAAGCCGAGTTTTGAAATGAAGAACATGAGGAACGGGAAAAAAAAGGAGAATGGACAAAAATCGAGGGCAGCTTGGTTGAAGTCATTAGCTGACGATGAATTGCGCGTCAGGCACGTGGAATTGTGACAATTACCCCCTCCTTTTCTCCGTAGAGAAGTAAGAAGTCATGGACAAGGGCCACGCTGGCCGTCACAGTGCAAAGGGTTTTATTCTCCCTCCCACGAATACCAACACTAAGGAGCGCGGCCAATGCACGTCATCTGCCAACCCGTCCTCCGTGTTTTTGTTCTTCGGTTCTCCCCCGTTTCAATTGCTCCATTGTGGGGTGGCATCAAGCCCAGCGTAACGTAACTCCTCTCCGATACAGCGACTACAGAAAAGCCTCACAATCACCGATCCTTATTAAAACATCCGCACCATCGATCCCTTAGAAATCCTCAAGTGAAACTCGCTGTGCTTTTTTCCCCACTGCTTCCCGATAATGAATCGTTTGGCCTGAAAAAGAAGGCACCTCGTATTGAATTAGGAGACAGTTAGAGCTCTGTGTGTGTTTTTCATTCGAATGCGATCCGACTTTATTGCCACTATTAGCGTGAGTCCCTGTAGATTTCAGGAGCAAGCACATTCAAGTCTAATAATCTAATACCTCCTTTCAGAACGAGTAATAAATTTCCCCTGCCGCTAGCTCAGCTATGGGAAACAGCGCTCCATTATTACCACGCGGATTAGGTTATCACTTATTATAATGTCTTCTAAATCTTCGCCAATATTTTTTTCAAAATCGGTTTATATAAATTTGAAGCTCATTCCTGTATTTTGTTGAAACGAAGATTACAACATAGATTATAAGGTTCAGCCAATCTTTAAGTATGTTATATCCGTCGTTGTTTGCGTTCAAGCATGTGATAACCTAATTCAAATTTCACCTGGGAAAAAAAACAGACAAAAACACAACAAAACGGATAAAAAGTTGTGCGACAGAACTCGAGCCCACGACCTCTTGCAATTAAGTTTTCCTTGTAAAATCAATCAATTGAACTCACTTATGGGGATCCTTATTATCTTTGTAAATGTGAACCCTTGCAGTAAACAATGTATGTAAATGAATAGTGGAGGCTGTATATCAATACTATTACATTTTGAATTTCATACAATCAGCCCATGATTCTCTTATCATTGTGCAATACCAAAGTTCAGCAAAGTTAGTAAATTAGTAAACACGTCTCTGTCTGTATATGTGGTAAATTACTTCTCTGACTTCATCCAAACATCTTCAAGAATCAGACAAGCACTTTGCGAGATATTCTAACCTTTTTGAAAACCAATCCGTTGCACTATTGCCTATTCCATGCCACGTAATGGAGTGATATGGCGCACCATTTGGTGAATTGCAACGAACGCTGTTCTAAATTGCACCTCCCTGTTCGTTTCATAACTTTCCATTAAGTTTTGGACGTAATTGCATATCTCATAAGTGGTGTGGCCTGTCATCATATTCAAATGTAAATTTATTTTATTGACTTAAAGACAGCGAGATCCGATGGCAATTTGTTATTTTTTCCCTGAGAGCCGAAATCTTGTCGTCCGCACGGTCTTGCTGACAGGCCCCCGGCAACATCTCTCCTTCTCCCCGCTGATCAGCCGGGAAGATGCGGCGGAGAACACACACTATCCCCGGTTAGAACTTTAAAGCCAAACAAAACACCGCCGCCAAACCATCATCCCAATTTATGGTGAATCAAGTTTGCAATAAACTGCATTAAGCGCTATCTGTAAGTGAAGTTTCTGCCCCCCTTGCGGCCCGGCGATATTAAATTTGTGTATTGCCCCAGCCCCCCACGGGCGGGTTGGCAGGTTCTCCGGTTACAGAAAAATAGATGTCATTTGATGGGATTTGAGAAGGGTAAGGGAAACCATGGAGGAGACAGCGTATTAGCGTCTCCGCTTAATAGATTTGTGGAGCTGTAATGCGGGCATTACCCGGGCGAAGGGGGCGCTGGGAGAATTCGTGACGCGCCGTTCCAGAGAGGGCACGTAGCATGGAATTTAATGAAACGTTCACCCGAGGCCAGTGGAATGACCCCGGATGAGTTGAAACTTACGAGTAAGGGATATGAAAAAGCTTTTTAATGAAATTTGTCAAGTCTTCTCGCATTCATGTCACTTTTTTCCCCGTCGATTCAATATGCCGGGAAAGTTTGGTGGCGATCCCATAATTCGCGTGTGGCTAAAGAGGGTGTGACAGTTACTCAGCGTTTTGGAGCAACATGTCCATTGGGAGTTGAGAGGATAAGACAAATACTACAATTAAGAACTATGATTTCTATGGCACAGATCACAGACGGCGGCCTCCGAAAAAAATGGAAATTTCAAATTACCAAAATGTTGGTTTCATTCGCGACTGAAAAACACTGTTAGTGTGAAAGTCAAGGTATGTTACTAAAAACAAAAGCGGAAGGCAGACTTTTCTGTTTCATCAGACTAAGACTGATAGTCAATCAGCAAGCACGGTAAACCAAAACACGACTGAATGTAGTCGAGTGAGCGTTTAACTCTCATGTATCTCTGTATGTTATCAGTCAGCACACAAACCTGCATATAGCTCATCGATTACCACGAGACCCTAATGAATCACATTGACATCATTAACCCCTGGTAAATGGATACCGTCAAGCCACGGCAATTATTATTGAGAACGATACACACGGAGTTCTCTGGCTTGGCTTGGCAAGCTCAAGCTTCTATTTCCCCCCACGAGTTGGCCAACCATCTCCAACAAGTCCGGCAGATTTCTCGCCAGTAATTATTATCTTCATTCGCCGGTGAATAAGAGCTCTGCGCGCTGCCATGCCCGGCTCCTATCCACTATAACGGCGGGTCACCCAAAACCAACAGCGTGGAATCTAATAAACGCGCTGCCTAATGTCATTTGATAGCTCGGGTCCGGGTTCTCCGCTTGCACCGGGGGAGGAAATCGCAGCGAATTTCGGAGGTTTTAATCTAACGAAATGATAGGTTGTCAAGCGCCGAATGCCCATAATAAATTGGTTCAACACGTTATAAGTGTCCATTGACTTCTCTTGGCTGGCTGGCTGGCTGGCTGGTCGGTTGATGGCTAGCCCGTGGCTCTGCAGACGGTATTTACTCGAGAGAGAGAAAAAAACACATCTTATTATCTGTATGATAAACCCTGCTAGTAACTTGAGTTCCCCAAGAGACCATATCTTGTCAAGTGTGCATATTATTCTCTCCTTTCTTTTGTTAAAAAAATCGTAAAATGAGTTAAAATTCATCCAGTCTGGTTTCTTCTAATGCCAAATAAAATGACGGCCTAAATTTTGCTTTAATTTGAATTGTGTGATCACCATCCGAATTATATTGATTGGGACCGAGTTAACATTGGTCACTGATTTAACAGTGACACTCTTTACGTGTTTGTATATTTAGTTAGCATTTCTACTGTGACATTGGATAGATTTTTTTTATGCATATCCCAACCCAGCGTTATGATGGCATTTGAAGACATGTCGAAACAGGCGTTAAATCAAATGTGCACGTACAACATGCATATTCGCAGTAAGATTGATATATGGTAACACCGGTTCATCATTCATCACTTTCGAAATTAACACAATTTC